AATCAATAAAGTTTGGAGACCACTGGTCTACAGTACAAGCTCCCAGAGGGTGACCAGCCTGGATAATGCTGGGTTGCCTGAGATGTCTCACTTGGGTCGCAAGGCCAGCTCCCCTTCCCCAGGGCTTGAAGCCTGACCTGGGTCTCAAGCAACGATAGAGCTCAAAAGAGCTCTGCCTCCATTATAATACAAAGGGCGATCAGAGCCAGAGACACACTAATGACCATGGAGCTGCTCCCCAATGACAACTGCCAAGCCGTCCGGGAGCGGAACTTCCACAAGGACCTATGAAAGGACGACAGAGACCTGAACTGGCTAACGGTCCATCTCGCACTCCCAGTGAGGGTGTGGAGACAGAGAGGGGCAAAGGAGTGTACCCAACTGCCCCAGGGAAATTTACCAAAGTGCAACAGAGACCATCAACCACCTCCTATGGCTCTGCCCATACTCCAAGGGGGTGTGGAAAAAGGTAAAGTTACTCTGCAAAGAGGTGACGGGTCAGGCTGATGACGAGGGAGGCAATGCTGTACAGATACTTGACTAAACATCAGAGGACCCCAACAACCCACTTAGACCAGTTTGCGTCCTGCATCAGGAATGTCCTGTGGAAGTGTGGGAACCTCAAGATGTACAGACACATGGAACTCAAGAAAACAGACTGTGTTTAAATGCTTCTGTGTGAACTCCAGTCCTACTACCGGAAATCAGTGGGAGAGGATAGAGTGCCTAAATACTTACTTCATATCAGTATTCCTGAAATCAGACAGGAGCTATTCACCTGCCCAGAGGGCCAGGGAATATGGGGAAGATAACAGTCCACACAAAATCAGTCCCAAACAGGTGAGGGCACGTTTAGAACGTTTGGACATTTTCAAGTCTGCTGGGCCAGATGACCTGCATCTGAGAGTCCTGAAAGAACTAGCTGAGCTCATACCAGGGCCTCTGGCAAAGCTGTTCAAAGAGTCGTGGAACCCAGAAGTGGTTCCAAATGACTGGAAGAGGGCTAACATGGTACCCATCTTTAAGAAAAGGAAAAGGAACAACCCGAGAAACTACAGGCCAGTCAGTCTGACTTCAGTCTTAGGGAAACAAATCTTTGAAAAAATTGTTAAGGAAGCCATCAATCACAGGCTCATAACTGGTGGGGTACTAAGAAGCAACCAGCTTTGTTGAAGCTAGGACATGCCTAACAAACCTGGTATCCTTTTGTAACAAAGAAACTAACCAGCTGGACAAGGGACATGAGGTTGGCATCATTTACCTAGACTTCAAGGCCTTTGATTCTGTTTCCCATGAGAGCCTCTCAGTTACACTAAAGGGTACTGGCCTAGACCAGTCTACAGTGAGATGGGTTGGTAACAGGCTCAGAGGCCGATCCCAGAGAGTTGTAAGCGATGGGATGACTTCCAGTGGTGTCCCCCAGGGATCAGTGCTTGGGCCCATGCCCTTTAAGATCTTTATCAATGGATTGGATGAGGGGGTAAAAAGTACAATGATTAAGTTTGCAGATGACACCAAGCTGTGAGAAAATGCGGGCACATCAGAGGACAAGGTAAAGATCCAGGATTACCTCAACAGACTAGTCCTATGGGCTGAACACAACCAGATGAGGTTCAATAGGGATAAGTGCTGGGTCCTTCATCTGGGTAAGAAGAACCTTCACCATAACTATACAATGGATGGTGGTTCACTGGCTAGCACTGCATCTCAAAGGGATCTAGGGGTGACAATCGACCAGAAGATGAATATGAGTCAACAGTACAATGAAGTCACCAGCAGGGCAAATAGAACTCTGGCATGCTTCAGTCAATATGTTGCCAACAGATCCAGAGAGGTGCTTCTCCCTCTCTATTCAGCATTGGTGAGGCCACAGCTGGAGTACTGTGTCCAGTTCTGGGCACCACACTTCAGGAAGGATGTGGATAAGCTCAAAAGGGTACAGAGAAGGGCCACCCACATGATTAGGGTCCTGGAGGATGGGCCCTATGAGCAGACACTCCAGGAACTGAGTCTGCTCAGTCAGAGTAAGAGAAGACTGAGGTGAAGAGAGAGGTGGCTTGATAACCACCTACAAGTATGTCAGGGGTGAACACCAAGATCTAGAGGAGCAACTCTTCAGAAAGGCATCCTTGGGAGGATGAGGACCAATGGGGCACAAGCTAATTGAGGAAAAATTTAGGCTCTACATAAGGAAAAACCTCCTTTTCTGTAAGGGTAACTAGAACCTGGAACACACTTCCAGCAGAGGTGGTGCAGTCACCATCCTGGGAGGCATTCAAGAGGAGGCTGGACAAGCACCTCCTCAAGCTCATTTGAGCCCAATAACCTCCTGCCCATTGCAGGGGACTGGACTTGATGATCTTACAAGTCCCTTCTGGTCCTTTGATTCTATAATTCTAAGATGCAGCCAACTCCATCTGGCAAAGGGTCACTTGGCACAGGCTCTTCAAAGACTGCCCCCCTCCCCAAGGGGGCGTGGACAGGGATAACAAAGAGGACAGCAAGACAGTGATGATGACAGCAGCAGTGCTAGGAGCAGTGGAAGCAACAGTGACAGTGACAACAGTGAATGAACTAAGACTGTAAACCCCAAAACTGGGGCTAGGACTAAGAGACAGTGTGACTGGGTTAGGGAAAGGACTGCGGACAGGTGCATGGGAGCGCAGGTCCACGGGTGCATTTATTGTAATGGGTGTGCAGGCTTTAAATGTGGGTTAAGGTGTGTGACAAAAAGGCTTTGCTAGATGATGTGTATATTATATATATGGTATACACACACACACACACACACACACACACACACAACCACATACATATACAAACATATATTTTTTTGAAAAAATAAGGAAGGGTCCTGTCGCAGAGCACTTCGGTGCTCTGCTTCTATAAAGAGAGGAGGTGTGTCGCAGAGCACTTAGGTGCCCCACTCCTTAGAGTGGAAACTGGTAGGGAGAGAGAGCCCTAGGAGTGACTGGGGAGCCCCAGCTGTTGGTTACCAGGGCAGCCAGAGTAGTTAGTGACTCACACCTGCCAACAGTCAGCTGACCGGAAGGGGCAGGGCCTGGCCCACATATAAACCCCAGGGCTGAGGCCAGGAGGGCAGTTCCCTGCTGGCAGCCAAAGGGGAAGGAGCTCTGCCAGACTGAGCAAAGAGAGGCCAGACTGCAGGTACGGCCCAAGACTGGGGAAAGATGGAGCAACCCTGGTGTGGCAGGAAGAATGATGTTGTAGCTGATTTGCAGAGATTTATGTTATAGCCTAGGGGCTTGAGTTTTCTGTTTACAACTGGAGGTTTGGGTGAGGCTATTAGGGATTGGAGGAGGCCTCATATGGGACCCACGGCTGCATGGGGATCCCAGCTGCAGTTGTGAAGGGGGCAGCGAGGAGAAGCCCCAGTTGTGAAGGGGGCAGCTAGACAGGGCCACAGAGAGCCTGAGCACCAGTGAGGTGCAGTGCCAGACAGGGCTGCAGAGAGCCCAGGGAGGACAAGGGGGACATATTACAACAGGGGCCCAGACCACACAACAGCAGTACCATCCACGAGGCTTGGGGCGTGGTAAAGGGGCAGTTGGAGCCACACATAGTCCATAAGGCCGGGGTGCACGGAACACCCATTATAGAAACAAGACAAGAGATAGCAGGAGAACTGTGGCCAAGAAGATGAAAGGCAACCTCCCTTTTAACATATATAAGACCAAGACATGGTGGGAGAGATTCAAGGATGCTTTGAGGCTAACTTGGCATGGTAAGGGGGTGCTAGGGGAGATCACTGCCACCCCTAGGACCCTGCTCCATGACAGGTCCCATCAGCATGTTTGCCCTATGCAGGCCATGTGTCTTATCGTCACATGTAGCATTAGCTGTATTTAATCAGCTTCATGGTTGGTTTCCGTTACTGAGCATATGCTGCTTTTGGCAACAGTTTAATGCATTTAATGAACATTCTTTCGATATGAATGTAAGACGAGGAACACCCCCCACCCAAATTCTGACTAAAAACCCAAAATCCGTGATAAAAATTAAAGTTCCTGCACAGCCCCCCCACCCCCAGTGCTGCTGGTGCCCTGCACTCCCCTTCACAGCCTCAACAGCCCTCCTGATGCCCCTCACAACAGCACTTAGGTCACAAAGTGCTTAGATACAGGGGAGGAAGTAGATATTATTTACCTGGATTTTAAAAAGACTTTCACCACAGTGTCACATCCAATTCTTATGAGCAAACTGAGCAGCTGTGATGTGGATTTTTTCACAGTAAGGTGGGTGAAAAACTGGCTTATGGGATACTCCCAGAGAGTGGTGGTGGATGGGGCAGTCTCTCCCTGGAGGGATGTGCGTGTGAACCCCCCACCCCCCCCAACCACCATCCCTCGCCACCACTGCAGAGCAGGCCACACAGCTGTGCAGCCAGCCACATGCAAGCCTCCCCCCTCCCCTGGGCAGCCAGCTGGCCGGGCAGCATGTGCACCCTGCATCGCCTGCCCACAAAGAGGCGCCCCTGCTTTCACCCTCTGGCCCTGCACCTGGCTGCAGAGTGCCACCTAGGGCTGGCAGTACCTCCCATTCCCTCATCCTTAATCTAACAAAAAAAACTATAAACCTCAATTGAGACCTTTGCCAATAATCTCAGTGGAGCAACTGACCAATAACTCAACAGTTAGTCTCTCTAAGTTAAGACTGAAGCACCCATTGAAGATCCTGTCCTGTGCCATATCTAAAGCACCTTGATCAGTAAGGCTGTCCATCCGACACCGGCCTCGGTAAAAATGGACTCTTCAGGCTGTGCAAAAGGCTATAGCCATACTGCATGCATGTATGTTCAGTCATATAGTAAAACGGCAAAAAATGATTGTGCATCAGCCAGACATTTACAGTTACTGCAGAAAACAAGTTAAACATGGCAAACTGAGCCCAGCAGTTTAATAAACATCCAATAATACTTGCTACTTGCCATGGACATTCAAGCTATTCAAATGCAGAGAATAAGGGCTCATTTCACTTACTTAAACTACTAAGTCCTCTTTATCTTTTCCCTTTGTTTCCATCTGTTTCTCCCTCCATAATAAACTGGCTTTGAATGCATGTCAGAACTGGTCTCTAATTCTGCACAAAGGAAAAAAAACAAAACTTTCAGTGCAACACATAAGTATGTCTATTGTACCCAACGGAAAAATGCATCTTATGCTTGTTCCAAAAATGCGCTTACCCTGTACAGGCAGGTATAGCTGCACTAGAAGTTGAGCCCTTCCTAGAGACTAAAACAATTTAATAGAAACACCCACTGATTCAGATGTTAAAGACTATTCATACTGCAATTGTACGATAACAGTGTCACGAGTGACTGGGGATGGGACATTTGGAGGACTAGAGGCTTTCTAAATTTTCATGATTAATATAAGACAGGGCTGAACAACTTCTGGGAACCCAGGGGCCATATACAGCACAGGCCATAGACCCAGTTGGGACGCACCCCCCACCCCAGTTCTTTCCCTATCATGTGTGCTCCTCCCCACACCAGGCAGGCACTCCATTGCATGCATATCCCAGTCCCTCTTCTACACCCTCCCAAGCCACATGTGCCTTGTAGCAGCCAAGATAGCCTTGGCCCCCTCCTACCATGCACACAGCATGCACACCCCCCGTCCCAGCTGCGCACATAGTACAGGTTGCGCACCTGAAGCACAGGCAGCCCAGCTTCCTCCTGAGTAGCACACAGCTGCACAGCACAAGTAGCCTGGCCCCCTCCCACTGTGCTACTCCACCCCAGGAACCAGATGCTGCAGGAGAGGGTGGAATTGCAGAGACCCTGACCACTACTTCCACAAGAGTACCAGCTGAAGCAGTGGCCAGGCAGGAGCCTGCGGGCCACATGTTAAACCCTGGCAAGTCACATGAGGCATATAGGCTGCCAATTGGACAGCCTTGATTTAAAATGTCCATAGTTCATTCCCACTAATTAACTATATTTAATGCTTACTCTACTGCCTCTTTACATTACCAAGACAGTACAGAGAGACCTTAGTATAAAGAAGAATCAGGCTCACAAGATTTTTACTGAGTTTGAGTAACTTCTTTGATCTTGTTGCTCAGAATTGAGGTATAATGTGACAACAAATTAAGCCCCACATATATCAAAGAAAATTCCTTTGATGGCTGTATTTGAGTTGCGTGCAACTCTGCAGCAGAATAACCCATATCTCACCCCAAGGTTTGTGCACTGCTCCATGACCCAGAAAGCTTACATTTGTTTTGGTGGAATGTCCTAACCTACCAGTCTAAGTTCTCCATTGATTTTTATTCTGTGAAACCTTAATTGCTTCAGTGAGATTGCAGTGAGCAAACACCAGAACAGGACCTCTCACCCTATCCTGATCCACACCTTGTACCGCAAGAAAGCAAGAGCTCTCTCTCAATAATGGACACCAAGAGCCTTGATGCACAATGCTGAGAATCTGGGGTAACACCACTGAAACCAAAGTGTGATAGAGAAAAGAAGGAAGCCTCTAGGAGGTAAGCTGCCACACTAAAAGCACCCTTGCCCAATATCACAGGCAACAATTAGAATAAACCCATTCCAAAGCTTATAATTTTTAATAAAAAGAATGAGCTCATATAAGCAGCAGAAATATAACCGCCTAAATAAAACCATTGACTATTCATAAGGTCTGTGGTTTAAAAAAATGACATTCAAGTAGATTACCAATTTAAGCACTAGAAGGATGGCATAGATTCATTTCCATTATTAAAAAAAGAAAAACTTAAAGAAAATATTACTCTTGGCTGGCTCATGTTAAAAGCTCAAATAACCATTTTCTTCCTCTTCAGTAATTCACAGGAAAGGCAGGATGAAGACACCCTATGGAATACTCCCCAAATGGAAGAGAGGCCACATGTGAAATATGGGCACAAGACTTTAGCAAAGACATACAAACTTTTCTATTTGCAAATCAGATGGATACCTAGAAGCAGAACATCCAAAGCACATGTCAGTATGCTTCAAAAATATCATTCAAATGGGTAGGAAAATAACTTTTCCATTCCAAGGAAAAATTCAAAATTTTGAATTTATCTTAAAATTGGCAGACAAAGTTCTTTGGGTAAATATGATATCTGAAAAAATTCTTCTTAGCAAGCTTTTGAGTTCAAATACCCTTTGTCAGACTGAGGAGGCAACTTTAGTTTGTGTGTGCTCTTTCTGGATGGAATGAAGAGTAAGGAAGCCAGAGGCTGGTATGCATGCAAGAAAGGCAGTCAATGAAGATGTAAATTGAGGAGTCAGTGGGTGAGAGACAGGCTGGGGGGAGGGGAGAAAGGGGATATCAGATTTACCCAAAGAACCTTGTCTGTCTATGTCCTTAGACCAACACAGCAACAACCTGCACCCATCTTAAAACTGGAATTTTTCACAAAAAGCCAAAATATTCTAAAAATATGTAGTTCAATAAGGTCACAACACAGTATATAAACAGATGTAAGAATAAGGTAAAAGGAAGTTTTTGACCTCATTGAAGCATTTAAAGAATGTTTTTGAAAAATTTGGATAGAATCAAAACAGATTTTTTTCAAGTCACATTTTCTAATGGGAAAAAAATGTGTTTCACCTAAAAATCTGCAATCAGCTCTGGTTATAACCAGGGATCCAGGTTTCCATTTCCCATAGAAAAATTGAGAAAAACACGGATTTCCCCCTTCACAGGAGAAAACCGCAGATTACTCATTTTAGTGGAGAAAGCCATGAATTTTGCATTTTGCAAAGCTCCCTGCAGGCTGCCAGAGTTCCAGCTTGCAAGGGGCTTGGAGGGAGCAGGACAAGGGCACTCAGGCAGGGGGTGCCATGTGCAGGTATATGCACACGGCCACCAGGCAGCCTGGAGAACAGCCCTCACAGGTAAGTGTGTGGGGGGCGGGGAATGGAGGCCCCTGTAGGGAAGGAAGGAGGAAGGGAGGGAGGGAGTTGGGCAGGGCTGGAGCTGCTACCCAGCCGGGTGGTGTGTGGGGTTTGGGGCCTAGGGCCACAATGTACAGCTGCAGGACCCCAGTGGAGAGTGGGACAGGTCCGTGTGTGGCTTGTCAGGGGGCAGGAGGTGGGGCTGGCTCCTTCTGTTGTGGGCAGGGGGCTGTGGACCCAAGTCCCTGGCCATATAGCCCTGGCAGCTGGGAGCCCTTTCTGGCAGGGCTGGGGGGGGCAGAGGAAGGGGTGAGGGGGCCTTAATTTTAACCACAAATTTTGGGGGTTTTATCAGAGAATTTGCAAATTTTTTAATCAGGGAAAACCAGGATCCCTGGTTATAACCCTGACCCAGATGCCTTAACCCACATACAGATGTTCCACTTGTATTGGGAGAATTACCAGTCTCCCAGTAGAAAGCACAAGTGTACAAATGTTCACAATGATTCCCCTGAAACAAAAATGGTAGTTCCCTGGAAAATGACTTGACTGCAACCAGTTAGTAATCATTCTTGGGAGAGTTCTTCCCTAGAGAATGAAAACTTGTATGCTTTCTTATAGCTTAACTCCTCCAGGGGACCAGGAGTTGAGCCATGGGCGACTGGTGCCTCCTGAGTCTTGGGGGGGCACCGGCAGGGCGCAACCGAGGGGGTCCCCTGGCAACCAGCCACGAACTGTGGGGGGGGGGACCCCCAGCAGCCAGCTGGCAACCAGGGGAAGCCAATTTTAGGAGGAGGGCACTAGTGCTCTCCGTGCCCCCCTACCAACTGGAGTGCTCACTGTCGGGTGGGCACCAGCACTCTCAGGGGGGCACACATGCCCTTTGTGCCCCACCCCCCATGTGTCACCTATGAGTAGAGCTTCAGGGAAAGGCCTTCTGGAAACCAGGGGCAACTCAATCTGGAAAAGGTGAATGAGGCAGCTGCTCCTGCCTCTCCCATTGACTGGGAAGGGAAGAGAGGAGCTGCTACTAGCTGCCCAAGCCAGCTCCTCACACACTGGAGTCCCAAAGAGCAAAGTGGACAGGAGCTTTGCCATGCTTCTCCCTCCACTTGGCTCCTGGGCTTCTGGAGCCCAGAGAAGGGAGCAGTGCCATGAGCCCCCTGCTTGCTTCTCACTCTGGAGTGCTTAGTAATTACTGCCTATTGTGATAAGCATGCAGGGGCCTTTGCCCTGCTGCTCCAGTTCTCCTGGGAATGGGATCACCCCAGTCTCAGGAAGGTGCAAGGAGCAGGGGTACAACCCCTGCACTGCGCTCTCACAGAATCAGTTCTACATAGAATCATTTGTACTTGACTTAATTTAGTACACCCAGGAACAGGAGATACATTACTTTAAAGGCTTCCTTGCCAAAATAATTTTTGCTTACAAGTAGTCCTATTGCAACTACATACAGGAGGATTACTTGTGTGGGTAAAATACTACAGAATGAGGGGTATGCCTTCTGTGGGAAAGAGGTGTATAGTCATTTCCATCTGTCTTTCTAAAAGCAGCGTATAGATATAATAAATTCATGTCCATGCAGAGGGCCAGAACAAGGCGTGCATTACCTAAATCCTACTGAAACTCTGTTTTCAATATATAGGTGGGACTTCATTGAACTGCAGACCCTTCCAGGCAGGTTTAGAATAATCGTTCTCCTCTGTGGGTTCTGTTCCACTCCTTTCATTAGCTTCCTGTTAGCTAAGATAGTGAAAATAGAAGTGCTGGCTTGTATATTTATTCTTTTAGATTGTTTGACACAAGCCAAAGAAAAATAGTTGAGCTCACTATTTTATCCAATAAATAGAAGTCTGGACTATTTGATGGTTAAAAAGGATGTGGAACAATAGCCTCAGTTTACTTCCTAGTGAATATGGGTCTGGTCTGTGACTACAGAATTTAAAAAAGATCACTGAGACTGTTACACTATTGGCAGTGTCAGCTTCAAAGTCAAAGCCTGAATGGAAAGAATGTTTCCTGTTCTCCAAAGAGCTGACTCCCCCCATTTCAGAGATGCAGCATGGTTTTCCTATATTGCAGCAGTCAATGTATCACCCATGCTGTACACAGTGTATGAACAAAGAGAGCACATCAGACCCCAATATCAGGCACCTTTCCCTGTTACATCTGTGAGACCTGCAAAGCACATACGGTACTATGTAAAAAAAAAAAA